AATCATCAGAACAATTAATATGTCAAGAGTATTGCACAAACAAGATTCCTTTCACTAAATAAGCAACAGAAATGTAGTGATTAAAAAAATCTTCAAAGATACCAAAAAAATATAAAATAATATTTGGCATAGATGATGTTTCTCTTTTATCCAGGCTTCAGACTGTCATTAAGAAAATGCCTGTCAAAGAGATTCTTGAATGAACTATTGAATGATCCCACTGGAACTTTCTTGGTTTCTTGGAAAAAAAAGTAAAATAAATAAATTATGTCATACAGCATTACAACTTTAACATGAAAATGTTGGCAATAAAAGGTGAAAGTGAGCTACAATAATGCTATGATAAACCAATGTAGTTCCTAGAACCAAGCATGGTCTTTTCAGTGATAATGAAACCTTGATGACGTCTTGAGCTGCTGGTTACTGTCAGTTTAAGCGCAGCCAGAGGAGGGTGGGGGCGGGCTGACCCCCTCCACCTCGAGGCTGTTTGAGAGTTTGCCATGTGAACTATGGAGACCCCACAGTGCCTTTCACTCACCACTCCGGCCTCAAAGAAACAAGTCCAGCCCTGAGGTTTTTATTGGCTAGCACAGTAACCAACTGTATCTCCGTATGCTCCAGTCATTACTGCACAGTCCATGGATCCACTTAAACAGAACAGTCCCTTTTTCCAGATTATGTTGCAGTTGTGCTTGGAGAACTGCTCAAGTTCAGTACTTCAACTTAAATATACGTTATCCTACCTATTAGCCAATAGCTCTGTTTCATAATAAAATACAGATTATTTCAATAGGCCGATAATAAATCTTTTAATGGATTATGACTGTTTCATTGGACAAATCTTTGTACACCTTTGTACTCATGTATTGAGTTTGAAACTCTATAATAATACAATGTTTTTTAAGGTCGAGGAACACAACACAAGTGCTGCTGTTACTGATGCAGAGACCAACAGGAAGAGAGCTCTCTGTAATAGGACTGCATGTTCTACACATTGTTCTACATTGAGTCACTCATAGCAACATATAGTAATAGTATTCTCCAAATGCTAAAATATGCATAAAGGGCATTGTGGGCAGTTCCCTGAGTCCCTGTGTCTTTACTGTCATGTCACATTCTTTCATCCATAGGACAGTGTGTGAATGGGTCCCTGCTCTAAAAACTGCCCAGTGGTCGGGCCAGACAAAAAGGTGTTACTGATTACTGTGTCCAGCAATTTAAGCCATTGAGCACTGCCCCCAATTCACCTTCTTTCTTAACTTTATGGCCATAATTGCCATAAAGCTCCTCCTAAACCCTCCCAGCCCCCAGCGGGCCTTTTCTCACAGCCTTTGTAACTCACTCAATATTGCTATTGTACTGTACTCTCATCCACAAGTGCATTCACAGAATAGTTAGTCTTGCCTTAATGAACTGGGGTCAGAGTTCATCATGTTAGCTGTCTTGGTGCGTTGAGCTTCCTTTCAGCCCTGACCATTTCATGTCTAACTTGGACAACTCCTTCTTTAAGCAGCGTGACAATAAAGGCATCCATCAAGGGCCTGTCTTTGTGCGGAGGCTGTGACTGATGACGTCTATGGCACTTGAGCGCTGCACTCGGCTGTGTGAATGTTTGTTTATGTGGAGTGAGGATTTGTCAAAAGCTTTATGTCATTGCTGGCATCAGGCTCCTGGGGCTTGGACTGGGTGGTCTTTGTGTGTTTGTGTCTTTCTCACTCTCATTTGTTCCCTATTGATTGTCTAAATTAGGTTGATGAGAGGCCCTCCTATCAGGTGCCATATTAATTGGGTCAGCCTGGATCTTACAGAAAATCTAAATCATTTCTGATCCAAAGCTCATCTCTAAAGTTTTGTGCTCAGTCATTTCCTGTTTACTCCTTAATTCAAACTGTAAGTACTTCTGTCAAAATTTACATTTGACACTCTGCATCAAACTATGATTCTGTGCCTGTGTGTAGGAGGGGCAGGTACTTCAGGTGCAAGCAGGTTATTTGACCACTCCCCCCTTAAATCTGAGCTGTGTACCGTAGACTAAATCTCCAACTCCTGACCCAAATTCTGGAGTGTCCTCTCGTTCTGCATTGCTGTGGCCCAGTGTGACAGTTGCATTGAATGACTGTCCCACAGAGAATGAAGTCTTTTACGTTCTACACTCATGAGTGTGTAGTTCAGCTCTCCTTCTGTTAAGAAAGCATCCACAGATCCTATAAGCTAAATAAATGATTTATTGTACAAAAGAAAATGACAGTAAACAAAACAAATGCAAACATAACAATAGAACAGTTATTCATATGAAAGATCAAACTACAAAGTTGGGTGATTTTTATACTACACCAAGAATGAAGGAATGAAAAGGGAAGTGAGAAAACATTAGAAGCGGTGAACCTGTCCAAAACATCATAAATGTCATCATTTGGGTATTTACATAGAGATCTCTTACTCTCATATATTTATATGAAAACACTCTCATACATACCAGTATACAAACACTAAAATTAAAAAGTATTCTTCTCAATAGCTTTAACCAGAGTCGAAGCCATAACTGTAAGCACAGCTAATCTGTATCTCCATAGCCACACACATTCCCAGAGCTGCTACCATCAGTCACTCTGTAACGACCTGAACCTGAGCATAGGAACCCTGTGCTTTCTATGTCTTCATGGAAGGGGCTTCTACCAGTTTAATGTTCGATCGATGTTCAAAACAAACAATGGTTTTTAGAAGGCTAAAGTGAGGTAGACAGACTTTGAAATGCATTGTATTTATAACAATAAATAGACAAATGACCAGCTGAGCTTTCTTTCAACCAGCATTCCTCCCTTTGAAATATTCTAGCTTCTTTTCCTGCAATCACAAAAAAGGTACAGCATACAACATGTCCTCCTCTACTTTGGCTAACGGCTCACCTCCCGTTCACACATGGAAACATGTCAATGCAAGACACTCAAAACAGTCAACAGGACGCATCTCTATCACATGGAACACATTAAACTTAGTATTGGTGGGCCATTTCAACTTAAAGCATTCCCACTGATCCACACGTCTGTCTTCAGCCTCTCAGGCCACTGCTGCTGGAGTGTCAGTGTATATGGACAGGCCCCCGCTTCAGACAAAAGCCCAGAAAGCGTGATGGAATCAAGAAGTTCTCAAGCAGTGGTTCTCAAACTGCGCTATTGAAGTTAGATCAGCTTTTACTGATGTAGTCCTGTTAAATCCTGTTTGTTTTTTTTGTAGTGGTTTGAACTTGTTTTGTTGTGCTTTAGCCCAGTTCCATTTTAAAGTTTGATCTATGTTGTGTCTGCAGTCTTTGTCTTTTAGGTTTGTGTGTAGCCCAGGTTTGGTCTGTGGTTTTGGTTTAGGCCCTGAGGGCCTGGTTTAGTCCTGTACACGGTCAACTTTTGTTTTGGTTCATTTTATTCCTTGTAGCCTAGAGTTTGGACCAGGTATAGTTTATTTTGGTGATGTTTAGATTATTTCATAATTTTAATCTGAAGTTTTGCCTTGGTTCTTTTCTCATTTGATTAAATATGGTCTAGGAAAGCCAAAAAACAAAATGTTTGTTGTGATGTGAGTTTCAGAACCACTGCTCAAATATATCACCATAAACTAGTTTCTTATCCTAAACTGTACAAGCTCTCTTGTGCTTAGTCAAACACAGACAACACATGTTCTCCTCCGCCTTAAACGTCCCATAGTGCAAATTTATTGTTGGTAAGGTAGTGCCCCAAAAAGGTTTTGTACCCCTTTTTAATATATACATATATCATTTATATATAATGTCAGAAGGCTCTTCCTTGATCCAACAGCATAGTGCTTTCGTTTTTACAACAAAAGGATATCTTTGCTTTGATATCCAGGAGACAAAGACAGACATTTACTACTCTACCATTCAAGCACTAACAATATTTTTATGATCACGGACAGCTGAGGTGACGTTGCAGGGCAGTTGAAATGCATCAGACATGCAGTTTACAATTTTCTTCTACAGTATCTATACTGCTGTAAGAAAGGTCTACACACGATAGACCAATGTAACATTGTACCATTGTAAGATATGATCTAGCTCTTAGTAGAGGTTTAGATTTTTCCCTTCTTGCATTTAAAAACAAAACAAATAAAAACATGATTTGTAGATTGAGTTCTTTTTCATGTTGGCATATCCAAATAGGGTCTTGGACTTTTGTCCAGTACTGCATTTCTTACAGTTATAAGTTGATATAGATATAGACATCTTTATAGCAGCAAGAACAACATGTTAGTGTTAATTCTTTTTCCTTTGTTACAGTGTGACAGAGGATTCGATTCCCACACACCCTGGAGCCAATAAACTCTCAAACTCTAACTCTATGTGCATTGTCAGAACGGCACAATGCTGACTTTGAAATGGATGCCGGATAAGTAGCATAACCTCTGCCTTTTCTTTACAAAGGTTTACAAGTCTACAAATAAAAGGACATCAAAGTAAGTGTGAAAGGATTTTGTAGGCGCTGGAGAATGTCACACATGGGTGCGATTCATTAATAGTGGCTCTAGGTTTGGTTTTGAATCTCCTTTAGTTCTCAATAGAAGATCACAGCTCTTTCTTAAGTATCAATGTAACGCACTGTATATCATGCCCCTTTTCAATTTAACAATTTCTTAAGCTGCTGTAGTTGAGCTTCTCATAAAAATAAATTAATTCTCAGATTGGAACTGCATTAAAAATATTGTAAATGCTCTTTGCTATGTCTCCCGTCATCTCCATCCACAAACCTGGACATTTGACAAAGATACCATTTAAAAACATCTTTTAAAAAACCCACAAACTAACACACAGAAACATAGTTTAGTCCCATTTATCGTTTGACGAGCCTGCTCCACACTTCTTTCCAATGTCCTGTTTTCCCATCAGTCCTCTGTGATTCATATTTCCTTTAGATTTTTACATATATTGAATCAATACTGAAAGGTATGGAAAACAGTGACATGTTTTATGTGAAGCAGAAAGTGAGATCTGGTGCTGGAGTTGTGCTGCCAGGGTTTTGGTGGCGATGCGATGGTGGCTGTACATGAGAGTCTGTGAGCCTAAGAGCAGCCACACCGATCCACCACCATCCCCGGGATCTTCCCGTGAATGATCTGTTGCTTGTCATTGAAATAGAGCATGTTAATGGGGGACATCTTGGTAGGCGTACAGCAGGGCCCCGCTGAGCCGCGGGGGTTGGCATGCTGCACCAGGTGAGTGTGTGGGTACTTCTGCATGAACATGTACTCGCACTGGCCCGAGCAGTAGTTAGCTTTGTAGCGCTTGGGCGCGATGATCCAGTCCCATCCGAAGGCCTCGAAGTCCACCGTCAGAGGGTAGCGACAGCAGCGCGACTCTGTGGAGTGCTCATCACAGTCCAGACCCAGGTTTCTCCGAGATCGTTTGGTGGTCTCCAAAACCTTCACCTCCAGAAACGGCTGCTGGAAACAGGGGGGAGCAGACATAGGAGGGTGGTTATAAGAGAGACCTGGACAAACATTACCTGAAACTGACCTAGACTAAACAGACACACTTTAGTCTAGCTTGATTCTTTTTGACAAGTTTCATTTGCTATTAGGGTTATCAAATAAAATCAAGTCAAATACTGATTGAATCAATACCAACTTGAAACTACATTTTTTTATTTCATTTGTTCGATACTAAAAAAATAACTTTCCTGAACAATTTAAGGATGATCTTCATCTTTATCAGAACTGACATTCTTGTAGTAGTATAACAAAGTACTATTATTTTGTGTAAAAAAAAAAAATTTATATTTTTGTATTATTGTGGTATCAAGTTGTTATCAAGCTTATTCCTTAATATGGAAAATGATTTTGAAATGTAGTATCATGACATCACTATTTGTTATAGATAGTTTTTTTCTGTTTTTCTGTTGAACACTCCCAGAATCAACTCCAAACTGAACAGAACAGCTTTTTCCTACACATCTCACTGGGCCTGGAACAATATTCAAAACTCTTTGTACCTACAGGAACAGTTTCCCCTGACCTCATGGATATTATCCAATTTGAATTCTTAATTAATCTGTTTTACTATGGTTGCCGAGGTACCTCTTGGCCGGGTCTTCCTTGAAAAGGAGATTTTATCTCAAGGGATTTCCTGGTAAAATAAAGGTTAAATAAATAAATAAATAAAATTCTCTGGAGGCTCTATTCCAAACATGACCTTCAACGCTTTTCGTCCCTTTGTGGCACAGACCATTAGTTTGTCACTGATGTTAACATTTAGCCCTGCTCTTTGTCAGTGTTCTAAAACCTTGGTACTTCATGTTTGAGTTCTGCACTGCAGTTTTTTTCCACTACATGCTTGAGTGACTTGAGCTTGGATTGGTCCATGACCCTCAGGGTCATCTGGAGGCCATCGCCTTAACCTTTAGGCAAAGCACGCGAATCAAATATTTCAGTCCATCGTGTTTGTTTTACAAAGCCCGCCCTCCCCAGAGTGAGTCCAGCTGGGCTCAGGGATGGTCAGGCGTGACGCATTCAGAGCAGTGAGGTGAGGGCCTCACTGTCCTACTCCTCTGTGGCTTGTTGTGTTTAGTTTTATGTTTGTGCGTGAGTCTGTTTTTGATCCTCTCCTTGTTCTGCTCTACAATAATAATGAGCACTGCTGCGTTCTCAGGGGGCAGCGGTTTATTGGCCAAGACCAGAGCTGACCTCTGTTACATGTTGTGGAGAGCTGACCCACATGGACACTTAGTAAATATTTGGTGTTTCCTAACTGGACGAGTGGCTTACATCAACATGATGTTGGATTAATCCTTCACACAAGATTTCTGCATGAACTCTTCCATGACCACACTTAGACCTGCACCCAGCAGGGTGCCTATAAAACAGTGTGGACATATGGCCAATGGGCTGCATGTGTAAGACATACACTGCAGTTTTATACCAGAGAACAAGAGGCATAGCTCTAAGCTCTTGAATGAATACAAGGGAATTCTTAGTATGGACCCTTATCTACTGTGTAACAAAGATGCAGTTAATCCATTGTTGTCAGTCTGCAATCTGTTCAGTCTGTTCTAAATCAGCATTTAGCTGTACAAAACATTCAACTGTATTTCTCAGCTTAGTAAATCTCGCATAGAAAACTTTGTAGGCATTATGCTTATTTGTTAATATTCCTTCCCAAATAGACTTGGCATCATCCTTCCTCTAACTGCCCCCTGCCCCACCCCCCGTGCCCCCTGGGACAGGTCTGAGTCCTTACCAGCCCCTCCTCCCCGGGTCGCAGCGAGGTAACGGCCAGGTCATTGCCGCTCTCATCGAAGGCGCTGATGTCGATACCCCAGTTGGTGTGCGGCTGCTTGAACCAGTTCTGCAGCACATGTTTGAAGTCGATGCTCTGCCAGTGGCCCACTCGGGAGTTGAGCTCGATCTTGAGCGAGCGGATGCGTATGTGGCGACTGCCTTGGTCTGTGATGGGCTTCAGGCGCAGGATCTGGAGGTACACTGTGGAGGTCTGCTGTAGTGGCCGCAGGTACACCCATAGCTGTGCCTTCAGCACTTTAGTGAACATGAGTTTGGGGCTGAACTTGAACAGGCAGCAGCTTGGTTTGCCATTCACCTGCACCAAAGGCTCCGCTGTGAGGAACAGAGAGAAGATTGGAGAATTATTATACTTTTTATCCACTAACAACTACTGCACTGTGATGTGTTGAAACATGTGTTAACCATAGTTAGTCAGCTGTTAAGGTCCACAACATCCAGAGTGGCTTGCAAAGTTTATGTTTATTAAATATTAATTAATATATTTATTTAATGCAAAAGATAATTGTTAAATACTGTACCACAAACCATTTTGGCCCACAGTCAAAGCAAATGTTAAAACAAAATCTAACATGGTCTTGGGGGATTGTAATTTGTATCTTATGTTGAGGGGTGTAGTTTAATACCTGGTTTTACAGTGTGCCTGTGGATGAAGTTAGGGTTGAGGGGCCCCCGAGCAGGCTTTTCTAATTGGTCTAATGGTTAAACACACAAGGGGCACTTACAGTATGTGAATACACACTTTACACAGGCTTATAATCAGTAAAATATGTAACTAGCTTTGCTTCTCATTTCTCTATAGCCTTTTTAAAAAAAATTTGTTTGTTTTTTTCCCCAAATAAAGTTGCCATTTTACTTAAATGTTTGTATATTTGATTTGTGTCTTTTTATATTAATCACAGGCTCCACTCTCAAGTAAATACCGACAGAACAAAATATGATCTTACCCCTTTCCTCAGCACTAAGATCAATAGTTTGATGCGCACATATTTTAGTCCAGTACTTCCTTAGCTTATAGACATTTACTTGTTTGTTTGCTTTTTGGTTTTTACAAAAATATAATTTATCTTCTTGATAAAACTGTGACTATAAATAAAATTTTAGACACAGTGCCCTAATCGAATAGACCTTGGTCCGTTATCATCTGTGCACATGCTCGGGGTTATTGGGGTAATTCATTCAGGTTACTTTTGTGATTACATCAAAGTTTGGAAAAGCACTTCATTTCCATATTAAAACGTGGATCAGTGATGTGGCCAGTGGCCAGATGGTAACCTCAGATTCCCAGGGGTCAATCGCAATAAAAAAAAGCCTATCCCACATTACTACCACCAAATGAAAACTAGTTTTATTAGCTCCCTTTATCAGTAAACCATAGATTTGTATGGGCTTGGATTTAGGTTTATGTCTCTAAAATGGCCTGATTTATTCTTGTCATGATCCGTACGCCACATGTCAGAGCCTCTTCATTTACATAGAGCTCCATCTGATATAATGACACTGCATTCATAAATTCATTTCCATGTAAAGCATTCATTTATTAAAGCTAATTTATTCTGCATCTAACTGGAATAATAATGCCAGGGAAAACACAATAGAATATCTAATCTGAGAGTTTCCATATCTCTCAAATGCAGATTTAGACATTAGGTGTGATGTTGCAGTCTGTTTTGCCTTCAGAAAAGACAAGAAAACAGCATGGACCTGTCAATCATTGCCAAATCTGGGGTTGCTCAGGCAACCTGCAAATGCTTCCTGGGTCAAAAGGTCATTTGGCACCTCAGCCTAGTTAAGAAATGGGATCAGGGGTCAAAACCGTCAGGCTCTTTACATCTCTGGGGCTGGGGAGGGGCAGCCCTAATAGCCAGATGAGTTTGAAGGTCAAGGTCGAGCCTATGGTAATGGTAATACGTCTTTCTTCACAACACACCCTTTTATTTGAGATTTCAGAAGCAAGGCTCAATGGACCACAGTTTGTTTTAGTTTTGATTTGGGAGATGGTCCAGCCAATGGCAACTGTTCATCAAACTCAGCTGACCAGAGCAGAAGCATCATCTTGGCAGCATAGTTCAAAAGTGGTCAAGCTTGGTTAGACTTGAATCTACTGCCCGGTTTACACAAACTAATCTTGAACAAACATCAACTATGAATAGCACATTAGCTACAGCAGGACCTGTCCCTCAGATCTCCACACTGTGATGGCATTGGTGGCACTGTATGAGTGGCTAGCACACTCGCCTCACAGCAGGAAGGTTCCTGGTTGGGTGGGTCTCCTTTAGTCACTCTGGTTTCTCCCATCAGCCCAAAAGTAGTCATGGCCAAACCTAGCTCAAGATCTGAAGATGGGTCCAGGGATGTTCAGTTCTGGTATCCAGTTCTCCTAACAGGTTGTCCCTGTGCCACTGAAGGATGGGTCAACTGCAGAGGAGACAATGACATGCACCTTTACCTTAACTTCACTTTACTTTTTTTTTGTTTGGTTTGAGTGAAGTGAACAGGCTCAGTGCTAAACAACTTGGGGTCCCTAACACTTTCCAGTCAACGTAGAACAGTGTATTTACCCGCTGTTGTAAAAGAATCCATTGGCTTCTGCCAATGATGGGAAATACTTTAATAATCCCTCATGAGGGAGATCCTTCAGTGCTGCTGGAGCAAACTGTCAGGAACAGTGAGTAATACAGATCTTGAGCTCTTGGCCAGGATCTTAATTGTGTATGAAGTATGTAAGTATGTATGTAACTGTATGTGTATTCATACAGTTACATAGATAGGTTTTATGTTTGAACATGCAACCTGTACACAGGAGGGCCCTGCTTGGTCCAGAAACATTCTACACATCAATTTATACAGGGGATTATTTTCACAATAATTTGTGATAGTGTTTTTTCACAGCCCTACAAATTTTAGTCTATTGTGATAGTCATTTTGCTGTTTGAGTCACCCTGGGACAGGTCTAAGATGAGGCACTTTGTTTTTGTTTTGATTTGGGAGGGGATTGTCCAGCCAATGGTGTTGTAATTGAATTATGGTCATGCATTGGGGGATCTGAATGTGACTGTGGTACAGATGGGTCCCGGGCCGCTGCGTTGAACATGGGCCAAGCGCGGACAGTCCTGGTCCTTCAGCTTGTATTTCAGGGACAGTCATTAGTGAGTGTAAACAATATGTCAATGTTCCTTTTGGTGGTTCGCTGGGGTCACGGCAATTAACGTGTTTGCTCAACGACACAGAACCGGGAATGCATGATTCTGCTGCTGCTGTTCAGATTTCATCACAAATACTTATGGTTGTCTTATATATGGATAAAGATAAAGTAATAATGAACTAACCTAGTTCAAAGAAAAATGTGTCACAAAATATTCTGTATGAAAAAACAAGCCAAATACAAAGTTTAAAACAATCCTTCTCAGTTCCTTAGTTCCTACAGTCTTTGTTTAAATGCATGTATTAAGTCATGACACACAGTGGTGTAATTTACTTTGGGTTTTGCTGAAGTTTGAGGGGCTGAAATTGTTAAATTGCTCCTGTGGAGGCCTTACTTGAGTGACCACAAAAGGAGTAACCTGAGAAGCCCAGAGCACAATCCATTTAGGAGCCTGTTATTAAACACACATGTAGCACATATGAGCCGCTCATGCTAAACAATGACTGCATTGATAGGCACCAAATCAACCTGTGTCTTTATAGATCCTGTAAGTCCTCAGTAATGTTAATGCTGCATAGCTCCAGTGTTGGCAGAGCGGCTGCCTGGTGCCAAAGCAGCTGCACTTGTAAAGAAACAGGACATTTAATCCCCTCCCCTGATCCACTGTGGCCCGCTGTCATAACATATTACTGCTAAGAGCCTTATCATTTTACTACATTTGCTGTTTTATTATTTAATTTCCTGGACAATTTGACCACTTAAGCCCTGTTGTAAAACCATGATGTAAGCATGACAAGAATATTCTACAAGTTGTGCACGGCTGCAAAAAACATATTTAGGATTGATTGTATGCATTATTTTTCTTTTGGAATCTGAAAGCAGCTGTATAATTTTGTGCATTATTACTTCACTCCTTCCATACAGGTGGTAAGCTATTATGTAGCTGCAGCTGCCCTGGGGTAATAAACAAGGCTGCCCATGTGCGCCATCAGCCCCTCCGAACATTAGCAATCACTCACACCACATATACATGCATAGGCAGGGGAGGTGTCTTGCTCAAAGACATAACAACAGTATGAAAGAGTGGAGTTCACACCGACCTTCGGGTCAGTTAATGAGTGAATAATTTATATTGTAAAGTATTATATAAATACTTTTAGAGAAGTAAAATCTTGGGCAGAAACTTTGTTCATAAAATATAATTTAATTTTGATTAGTTAAAATCATGCTTTTAGCCCCCCCTACTGGAGCAAAAATCTGAGGCGTACAGTACCAAGACCAGAGCCAAACTAAAATAGCCGTGAACAGAAGCCTGTGAGGTTTTCCAAAGGAAGCGTGGCTGTTTGCTTTTGCTCCTCGTGCTTCCTCCAGCTCTCTCATTATTATTGCTGCCGCTTATTTCCCTCTGGTATAATTGCAGCATATGTAGCTGGTGAGATTTACAGCCAGTGTGCAGGAGGGGGGCGTGCAGGTGAGCGAATCTAACATCTGGTTGGCTCCCTGGGTACCTGCGTCCTATAGGTGAAAGTGAGAGGGAGACTATAGAAGAGGCCTGCTGTGTGCTATCTGTGCACTTTTCAATGGCTGCGGGCAACGGTTTAAAGAGTGGAATGGTTAATGACCATTTACAGAAATACGCTACAGGAGACTGTTAAAAAAACAGATGGGAGGTAATACTTGGTATTCATAAAAGTAATCCTGAGATAAAACAGAAAAGTTAGTGTTGGTTACTTTGGGAAACTGCTTTGACAAATGTTATTCCAATAAACAGCCTTAAATCCACACACGGAAGTTTAAGGGGGCTGCACGAATATGTCCCAATTTATCACAATAGTTTTCAGGTTTAAACCTGACCTTCACACTTCCATCTCCGGAGACAAAGGAGCCGAGTGCGGGCTCTTGTCATGCAGCTGCGAGTGCCTTGTATACATGTGTGGCAACATATGCCAATCAGGTGGAAGCGCACAGCTCGGCCGGGGCGGGGACAGGAATGCTCCTCCATTGTGAATGTCCAAATGGATAATGCATAATGATATCAAGCTAAAGAGGACTTTCATTTGCATATATATCTATATTTTCTTTTCTTAATGGGAAATGCAAATGTGCAGTTTTCTGTTGAGTGTGTGTTTGGGAGCTTTGGTGCTGAATGAATGTGACTCTAGGGTATCCC